ACATTTCATTGATTTTCTCTAAAACTATAATAGATAGAATGAACGCAATATATGCTTATGAAAGCTGAATGTTTGGGGAATCTAGCAAGTATCGATACATTATTGTGCTCTTATCCATATTGCAGTAATGCGCGGTCCTTTTATGCAAGGGGAGGCGCCAAATGATTACATACTTTTGAGGGAGGCGTAGTAACATCAAGTTTGGAAACCACTGTACTAAAGGGTGTGCGATTTACGTGAACGGAATTCACCGATGTTAAATTACCTGCATTTGTATCATCTCCATTTGATTGGTAGCGACGTGCAAGGGTGTCCCATGATGCCTCAATCTAAGCCTTGGATCTTCCCATGTCGTTGACTTTGTATAATGATTTATATAATACCTATAGACAACATACAATCATTAGTTTCCCTTAAATCTAACTTATACAGATTGTTCTTAAACATTATTAAGTAGCAACAAAATGTTAAGAGAATTAACATTTGTTATTGTCAACATTAAGTAAACTCAACACTTTCTATCTTACTTTTTCATTAATTAATATTGATAAACAATAAGTATAATGAATACTAATAAAATAACAAAGATTGTCCATAATTCAAGTTATTAACTATTGGAATGTAAACTAATTTTATGTATTTATTTTATAAAATTACTCTGAAAGAATTATAAACATAAAATATTTATATTAATATAAAATAAACTAAAAGATTATTTGTAAATCAGGAAAAACCTGAATTATACATGGATGTTTTGATTTAAATCCAGTCGTGCGTGAAGGATAACACGTAAACAAAAAGAGAAACATCTTACTGTCGTCCTGTTTTCAGATCGATCCTGCAGTCCCAACCAGGAGGTACGTTGTCCTGTAACTCGGCCATCTCACCACTAAATCCAATTAAACTCTGATATAAGCTCTGAATATGGATAAGATTCTCCTTCTTCGCCCACAACAATGGAATGCACTCTTTATTAACAATGTTTTGAAGTATTGATTTGCTGTCAAACACAACAGCACCTGCCCGAGCTGAAGTTGGCTTCTATCAAAAGACCATAAGCATGCACTTGTTTACCAGTGGCGTAACCATTGCAACGAAGAAGTTGCATGATGTTATCCAATCCTTTCAGTCGAGACTGGAGCGAATATGGTTGCAGACATCTGTAATTTAAATTATACTATCTTATGGCATATTTCTTCCTCGACTTATTTACTAATTAAAATAAAGAATTTCAGTTTCACTTACTTTTCAAATAGTTTTATACTTAATATATAAACTAACGTCAAAGTGATTTTTTTTTATTAAATTGTCATTAATAATTAATTATATCTTATTATTTTACTTGGGGGAAATATGTTTGTTCTGCCTGATCCTCCTCCAAAAGATTACGTTCTGCGAGCAGTTAAACCTAACGATATGTCCAATCAAGAACATAGTCCTTTCGCACCACCCAGAGTAACGCAGCCGAACATTGGTCAATTTCTTTACCCTTTGCCCAACAAAGATGGTGAACATACCATCAGTAAAGTACCAGATGCCATCCTGGATAGATGGGTCACGAGACACAGAGAGAATTGGGTGGAAAAACCCACGAAGGATGCTCGATTCATGCACAACTTGTACAAGAAATATAACTCGCCGATAGGAGAAGTAAATCCGCAATACATGAAAAGACGTAAATTCAATCATTATTTTATCCATCTAATTATTGTATAATTTGTAATTGTTGTAGCTTCTATTTTTCCTCGTTCATATAAGTACGAATTGGATTGTCATGAGATCAGGCGTTTGAATCTATTGGATCGTAAATTAGACACGGATGAAAGTCGTATTAAAGATTGCATCTGTCCTCCTGGTGAAGGGCAAAAGGATGCAAAACCGTTCACTTGGACGGAAGCGCCAAAACTCTTTGATAAATCCCATAAGGATCCTTGCAATCGTCGAGCGGAATTTGCAAAGTATATTACGCGAATAATTCGTATGATCTAAACTTAGTTTAGTATTGATTTTGCAGGTGGGGTCAACCTTACAAGAGCGAAGCGTGCAATTTCTATTACAAATATTACCCAGCTCCGTAAATACCTTACAGGCCAAAAAAAATTGTTTAGTCGGCGGTGACGACTTTATTGTCAATAGAAATTTGTCAAAATTGTTCAAGTGATGTACTAGTGTTTCTTTTTATGTTAAATTCTCAGTTATTTAAGTGCGATGGATAAGTTTTCAACGGAGAACCTCATCCTGCTGGAGTTCCTCGTCGATCAAGTGAGTCTCGAGCATTCCGTGAAGCAGGACCTGCAGACGATGATGGGAGAGACGTGCGTATCCTTCCAGTTTTTGGATAACAGTCCGTTGATGGTTTCCGAGGAGGATTTCGCGCCGAAGAAGAAAAACTTTGGTGGATGCGACGGTTGCAGCGACGTGAAGAACGGAAAGTCTTGTTTGTTCTCGTTGACGCCGGAACAGGCGCACGAGGCGATGCAGCAGTTCGACATCTACGTGGAAGTGTTCAAGAAGATGCGCTGCGGCACTTTACCAGACAAGGTGCTCATCGGGGAGTCGTTGATTTCGATCGTCAATTTGTTCAACGAGCTCGTCGATTCGTCTGCCAACAGGGAAGATGAGACCGTGGCGAAGACGCTGAAGGATTGCTTCAAGATACAGAACTTGTCTGGAGAGTTGGTCGGCTACATCAGCGTTTACATAAGGATGTCGTGCTTCGGAAAGTTGATCGTCACTCAGTTTCAAATGAATCTGCAAGATAATTCTGTAGAGTTTAAAGCCAAGGAGGGTCATTATCTGTTCAAGTACAACAAGAAAGATGGTTCGCAATGCCCGGCTTCGTGTCCGCCACCGGCGGAATGTCCTCTTCCACCTAGACCGTGCCCGCCTCCACGACAACAACACCAGCAGCACAATTATATGCCTCAGCAGCCGCCTTGCGCCATGCCACCTCCTTGCATGCAGAACAATCATGCGATGCAAATGCAACCTCCTTGCGCGATGCCTCCACAGTCCTGTCCACCGCAGCCAAATTACAATCGTGGCGGTTGCTCCCCCGTCAATTCTACGTGCATGCAATCTTGTCCCAACTACAGTCCTCCACCTTGTCCTCCGCCCTCTTGTCCTCCTCAGATGAACCATCTCAACTTGCAAACTCCTTGCAACGAATGCGAACTTCCACCTGACGATCCTGAAGCAGATTACCAAGAGATTGGCGCATGCATGGGCGGAAATTCACTGACGATTCGCGTCCACAAAGAGAAGAAGCAGATCAGCGAATGCGCCTGTTCCGACGATGACGACGCTCCCAGGCCTCCAGCTGCACCGCAACCTCCATTCAACTTTAAAGTAAACGGTTGTCCTCAAGCAGCTACCAATGTATCGATCACTCCACCGACTTGCACAGCGAAGGACGGTACCAAAATCACGGAGATTTCCGATCCCGACAAAGAGGTGTTCATTCTGAGGATAGGTAAAAAGAGCGAGGGCAATAACAAGAAGAACAACCTGGAGCTGGAGCTGTGCACTCCGAAGGGTAAAGAGGTGAAACCGCCACCCAAATTGGAGACGCGCGACACCCAATACGAAGTGGGAGACTTCCCCGCGGAGACGGGGAAGAAGGAAAAAGGAAAGGGCGGTAAAGAGAAGAAGGGTCGAAAGGCTAAAGGAGGAAAGGGTAAAAAGGGCAAGAAATGATGTAAAATGTTTTGTATATTGTAAATTGTAACGTTACATTTAAACTACATTGTTTTTGCATTAAATATTTCATAAGTATAGTATATACATTTACATGTTTTCATATTACTTCAGACTATGGTTTTTGATATTTTTTACAGATCAAAGTTCATAATATAATAAGTTACCAGGGAACGTGGATTGATTAAAAAAAAAATATAACATTAACGTCACGTCAAAATTAACGATGAACAAATTTTCTTTAAAATTTTTGTTACACGATTCGGTTCAGATCTAAATCATTTTCGTGGTTGGGTAGTTGTGTTTCGCGCGATGTAGAGAAATCGAAAATGGAAAAATTCGCAACTGAAAATTTAATTTTGCTCGAGTTCCTAGTCGATCAAATAAATTTGGAGTACAATGTGAAGCAGGACATGCAGATGATGGGCGAGACGTGCGTCTCGTTCCAGTTCCTCGATAACGCACCACTGCTCGTCTGCGAAGAGGATTTCGTCCCGAAGAAACGAAACTACGGTAACAACTGCGGCGGATGCGACGGCGTCAAGAATGGCAAATCTTGTCTGTTCTCGATGACGCCCGAGCAGGCGTTGGATGCCTTCCGACAGTTCGACATCCACGTGGAGGTCTTCAAGAAGACGAAACCGGGAACGCTGCCGGATAAAGTCCTCCTCGGTGAATCGCTCATAAGTATAGTGAACCTGTTCAAGGAGATGATGGATTCGGTGTCGCATGGAGAATCTGCAACGGCGAAGACGTTGAAGGATTGCTTCCAGATCAACAATTCAATGTCCGGTGATCTGGTTGGGCACATCAGCGTCTACATAAGGATGTCGTGCTTCGGGAAATTGATCGTGACCCAATTCCAGATGAATCTCGAGGATAAATCCGTCGAATTCAAGGCTAAACAAGGACACTATCTGTTCAAGTATAACAAGAAGGAGGGGAGCTTTTGTCCGTCATCTTGCAAATTGCCTTCGGCGCAGAGCAGCATGCCTTCCTGCTGCATGCCGCCCTCGAACAATCAACAAAGGTACGGTCAAGCACAACCTTCTTCTGGTTGGAATCAACCGCCCTGCTATCAACCTCCGCCATGCATGGAGCAGAGCTACAAACAACAAAGACCTCCAAGTGCGCCTTGCACAATGCAATCGCAGCAGTACAATCAGCATCAACAACAAGGTTGCAAACCACAACCACCTTGCATGCCGCAACCTTTATGCATGCAACAGCAGTATCAGCAGCCGTATCAGCAGCAGCAGCAGCAACAGCCACAACCACCTTGCATGCCTCCTCCTCAACCACCCTGCATGCAGCCTCCTCGACAACCACCCTGCATGCCGCCTCCTCCTCAACCACCCTGCATGCCAACACTGCAAGAGATCCCCTGCAACGAATGCCAAGTGCCCAGCATTTATCCGTCCGAAGACAGTTTCCAGGAGATCGGTGCTTCGATGGGCGGCAACGCGTTAAAAATCCGCGTCCATAAGGAGTCAACGAAAGTGGAACAATGCGACGACTTTTCCATGTCATCAGAGAGACAACAGTACAAATGTCCGATACCGAATTGTCCCTACAACGAAACCCCAAGCGAAGAGATGGAAATCTGTCCAGCAGCTAAAAGAAAGTCCAAATCTCCGTCACCGGCGTGTCAGCAACAACAGCATAGAAAACCGACGTGCAGTTGCAGCCCGCCAGAGACGCAGCAGACCAAACTATCTATGAGAACGGGAAACGACGATGGAAATGTTCCTTTTAATTTCAACGTAACCGGCTGCTGTCCATCGAATAACGTTTCCATAATTCCTCCCACTTGCACCCTGAAGGATGGTACGCAGGTGACGGAGATATCGGATCCTCAGAAGGAGATGTTCATTTTGAAGATTGGCAAGAAGTCGGAAGGATCGAGCTCGAAGAAGAAACGGTTGGAGCTGGAGCTGTGCACTCCCAAGGGGAAGGAGATGAAGCCGCCGCCGCAGTTGGAATCGCGGGATGCGCAGTACGAAATTACCGATTTTCCGGATGGTTATTTGGAGAATTTCTATGGGAAAGATAAGTGGAAGAAGATGGTGAAAGATCAAGGCGGGTTTGGTGGAAAAGGAGGAGGAGGAGGAGCAGGAGGAGGAAGTGGTNNNGGCGGTAAAGGTGGTAAAGGTGGAAGACGTGGTGGAGGAGGAGGAGGAGGTGGCGGAGGAGATGACGATGACGATGAAGATGGCAACGGCGGTGGAGGTGGAGGTCGCGGTGGTAGAAGAGGAAAAGGTGGTAAAGGTGGCGGCCGAGGTGGAGGAAAGGGCGGCGGCGATGGTAAAGGTGGTAAAGATGGTAAAGGTAACAGAGTGGGCATCGGAAAGGCGGGCGGCGTGTACATGGATAAACCACAGAAACCGCAAAGGGCGGCTTGTCACGTGAGCGGTTCCTTCGGGCCCTGTTCATCCTTCAGTCCGTTCTCGAGACCTTGTCCACCTTGCAGACCCTGTCCACCTTGCAGACCGTGCTCCCCTTGTCCGCCCTGTCCATCGCCCTGCAACAAGGCAAGCAAATTCTCGAACGATTGTTGCTGGTAATAAAACGCATAAAAAAAAACTCATATCACCTGTGTTATGTTTTGTTTACGTCCCAATCTGTTTGTACTTGTCCTATGTAAATAAAAGCTATTTTCTATTTATTCGCGTGTATGATGATTGTGCAACGTTCGGCTTTTCGTTATCGACAAAAGTTAAACAAATCGCTTTACCTTGGCAAAAAAAATTCAAAAATAAAAATACACTATCACAAAATGTATGTCAAAATTATCATGTAACAAGAACCCGTCGATTTTCATCATCCGGAAACTAAGCATACCATAATGTCGAAATTCTCAAAAGAGAATCTGTACCTCCTGGAGTTCCTCGTGGACAAGGTGAACCTTGAGTTCTGTGCTGCGCAGATGTTGAGGTGCGTCCACTGCTTTCGAAAGGAATTAAACAGTTTGGATTTGAATGTTTGATTGTAATTTTTGTAGATGCGTTCCGGGCGAGACGTGCGTCTCGTTCCAATTCCTGAACAATCCTCCGATTCCGATATGCGAAAGAGATTTCGTGCCGAAGATGAGAAACTACATGGAGGGATGCAGCGGCTGCGGTAACATCAAGAACGGTAAATCGTGTCTGTTCTCGTTGACGCAGCAGCAGATCGCCGAGCTCGAGAAGAAGTTCGACATCAACGTGGAGGTGTTCAAGAAGCTGAAGGAGGACGACCCGCAGGATAAGATGAACGTGGGACAGTCGGTGATACCGCTTCACCAGATGTTCCAAGAGCTCATGTACACGGCGAACGCGCAGGATTCGGCTTCCACTAAAACGATCAAAGACTGCTACAAGATCATGAACAGTCAGAACGATCTGGTCGGCCATCTGAGCTGCTACATGCGCATCTCGTGCTTCGGAAAATCCATCGTCAATCAGTTCCAGATGAACATGAAGGATAACAGCGTGGACTTTAAGGCCGACCAGGGACACTATCTCTTCAAATACAACAAGAAGAACATTTCGGACCCGGTGAAGAAGAGTTGTCCACCATCAGGTCACGTCGATTCAAATCGTGGTGGTGGTCAGTACCCTTCTGGATCTCAACCAACGCCGCCTTGCGGTTCTCCAGCGGTCTGCGGACCCGATGACCCGTGCGGCGGTGGAGGTCAACCGCAGGTCAGCTGCTGTCAGAACGTGAAGACGGAAGCGCCCGGATGTCCGTGCATGGTCAGGGATGAGGGCGTTCAGAGTGAGCCGGCCGGCAAGGAAAAGAAGGGCGGTAAAAAGGGCGGAAAGAAAGGAAAGAAGAAGAAGTAAAAGGTAAACACCAATTGAAATATTTTAATATTTATCGAATCATATGATCAAACTAAAATAGTTTCAGTTCTAAAAGTGTACTTTTTTAATGTAAAGGTGCGCTCCGCAAATTAGAATGAGTTTATTGAGGTCAATGTTAAAACAACGTGTGTAGGTCGTGTAACATTTTACATATTCTCTCATTATACAATATCATTTAGCGATCCTTTTTGCTACGGAGAAGTTCAAATGCGTCGTTATATATTGTGATTACTAGTGCATTTGAAAAGTTGCGTGTTTGGCGTGTTTTTTTTTTTATAAACAAGAAGTGCAATTTTTAGATTCGCACGCAATCATCAATCGTTGTTTCATCATGTTTCAAAAATAAATTAAAGGTGGATGATTTTTTTTTTAAATATTATATTTTTGGGATAATTTAGTGGTAAAAGTTTTAAACAAAATTAATTAATCATAGCTTCATCGTCAGTCAAAAAAATGATGATTAATAGAAGATGTAATTAAAAACAAAAAGTAAAGAAATGAAATTATTTGGTTACGAAAATAAGTAAAACTGCAAATGCACGCAATCATCAAACGTTATTTCATCAGGTTTCACAAAAGGTGGATGTTTTTCTAAATTTTATATTTGTGGGATAATTTAGTTGTAAACGTTTTAAACAACAACTAAATAATAGAAGTTACAATTCAATTATAAAAGAATTAAAGTACTTGCATGAAATTAATTAATTATGGTTTAATGATAAATATAGGATATAATTAAAAAGAAAAAGTAAAGAAATGAAATTATTTGGTTACGAAAATAAGTAAAATGCAAATTGCACGCAATCATCAAACGTTATTTCATCAGGTTTCACAAAAGGTGGATGTTTTTTTAAATTTTATATTTGTGGGATAATTTAGTCGTAAACGTTTTAAACAACAACTAAATAATAGAAGTTACAATTCAATTATAAAAGAATGAAAATACTTGCATGAAATTAATTAATTATAGTTTAATGATAAATATAGGATATAATTAAAAAGAAAAAGTAAAGAAATGAAATTATTTGGTTACGAAAATAAGTAAGATGCAAATGCACGAAATCGTCAATCGCTGTTTCATCATCAAAAATAAGATGTTAATTGTTGAAAGTGTATATTTCTTTTTGTTGGCATTTCATCAAGTGGTTGTATTTTAGAGTTGGGCATTAATAATTCTTTTGTTTTATGTGTGCATGCGTGCGTGTGCAGCGGGGGCCTGTACGAAAGGACGAACTTAATACGGCTGGAAATTGCATCAGCTTTTCCATGGAACTCCTCCACCTCATTGGACAATTCACAGTTGGGCAGTTGTAATAGCTGGGGAGTAGTCAGAGTTGTCGGAGTAGTAGGTAGTAGTATTCGTCAGCGAACAGTGAGCGAGTGAATATGTGACAGAAGACGCCGGCGCTGAAGACGACGAAGCGGCATTGCATCATCATACAGAAGAAAACTTTCGTCTCAAATCGATCATCCAACAAAATAAATGGTATGCTCTAGAAATATATCCGTGTTGTTCTGATTTATGTGAAAAGAAGAAGCCACGGCTTTATTCGCACAAGAAATGCATACAAAAATCCCGTCTCGTTTCGAGTCGAGTTCGACACAAGAGCAGAGCAGAGCACCACGTGGCTTCTCGTTTTCTCTATTTTTACCCACGCGAATTTTGTGGCCGTGCGATTCTTTATTTAGTACAACTGAGTCGGTGGATGTAGAGTTAACAATTTATTATGGGGGGTGATAATAGTAATAGTAGTAGTAGTAATAGTAGTATAGACTTTTCTCGAAAGTTTCAAGTTGCAAACTTTTTGAAGTCCACGTAATACCGAAAGTGGCGGGAACTGGGTGAGAGCTATTTTTACGCAGACTATTTTCAATTGCAACTTATTTTTGGGTCATCATCCTTTCCCGTATGAAACATTCATCTTTGATGACACTCGCTTTTAACAATCTGCGCTCTCTCGATGCATACACGTACAAGAAGATGCACGTCGCGTGGGCAGACTTAGACACATTCATTCGACTCCCCCGCAGACACGGATTGGCCATGAAATCATTGCCGACGCTCTTAAATAACATCGAGGACCTTGAAAACTTCTACATCAGAATCTTTATAAAAAAAGAAGACGTACAGGAGTAAAAATAAAACTTAGGGATTATTTCATTAATTATAAATTCGCGACTTCCGTCATCTGTTTTACTGCTTTACTGCTTTACTTATATTGTTCCACGCAGATAGTATTACGTAACCGGCTGCAAATTTGAATTTCAAATTTCTTTCTGGTAAATTATTGAATTAATACGATGATGCGCGATACTTGCCAAGTAAGCGCCTCTCAAAATCAAGAGTAAATCCATCGCGTTTACCAATTAAAGCAACTAGAGCAATTAATGTCTAATTGCAAATCCTTAAACTTTGATCTCTCGTAAATAGTACGTGCAATCGGTTTTTACTGCACCTTGCAGCCCTCTTAATTTGTTTTTTTACCAATTAAGTAATTAACAACAACAGCAACATCCAGTTTGAATAATCCTAAAAAACATTTTCGAAAACACATTCTTTTTACGTAATTCGTATTTTTTTAAGTAAATTCAAGTAATGTTGTAGTTGTAGTTCAAACAAGTTTCACAAATATTTGTGTTTGAAGATGCGTCGACTTTCTTCTTGTGCGGTCTTGGCGCTTCCATTCATTCGTAAATTCAAAAATTTAAAATTTATTAATCTCTTAAGAAATCTTGTCTACACACACACACACATCAAATCCACCTGACGCCTATTTTTAGAATGCGAAGACCAGCGAAGATACTCATGAATGCATTCTTCTGTTATGTAAGAAAGTGCGCTGCGTCGGAAAGTTCTATTCTTGCGGCTCTGTGTGTGTGTGTGTCTTATCTGAATAGCAATTAGTTTCTTCTTGCAGCGAGAACGGATGTCGGAGGGTCAACGCCAATAAACCGAGGCGATGACGGAAAATAGATTGTCGTTTTCGTACTGCTGCTGCTGCTGCTGTTGCGTAATTGATAATGCGATGAAAACAAAAGAATCGAGAACAACAACAACAAAACAAAAAAAAAACAAGTGAATTCTATTTTAAGTTGTTGTCATGGATAATAATAATAAATATACTTGCGGATGTTTTCGTCGCAGTCGCATTACATTGTTGCCCTTGCGTTATCGACTTATGACTTATTATTTGTTGCGATCGGCGCAAAAAAGAGGACAATTAATCATTGAAATATTTAACAAATCATTTTGCAAAATGAAAACTTGTACTATTATTTTGTAAACGAAAATCGCGTAAAATGTAAACTTCAGTTTAACATTTTCCAAATAAAAACGATTATTGAAAAGAAATGAATTGTCGTGTCCCAGGGATGGTTTTCTGGACACCGTGGGATATCTTATTCTATTGTCGTTGTGGAATCTCAGTTGTTGGGATTTTAATGAAATTTCGTTTGGTTTTACATAACTTTATTTGTTATAAGACTATGTTCATCTTTGAAGGTTTTATTGAGACTACTTCTAAATACTTATTGTAGTTAATTCTTATTAATACTGAATGGAAGTTTGAGAGATCTGTCTAATCTGCAGTTTAGTTTTATCAGTTGAAAATACGAAGAAACGATGCAAACGGTCACTGTCTTCCATGGGATTTACCTACTTTGCATATTGCATATTCTGTTAATGATCTATAATTTAGTGGTTGGACACAACAGAATGTTTGAAATCTAATTTATTTGCTTGTAATGCGTGAAATTTCCAACGTGCTCTGTAGTGAAAGAAAAATCGATCCATTTTTTTTTTGTTTAGGGTTCGCGTGTACACTTTTAGGGGGACGAGAACCGAGGGAACAGGTATAATAATACCCTAACGGTCGTCACCCTCTCTCTCTTCGGCCGCACAATTTCCTCTTGAAACATTCATGCGTCCAATTATTACAGCCGAGATCACGAAACTAGAAGACAACAATCATATAACCTTTTTTTGTAGTTTGCAGCTTAATTGCGTCCGGCGGCGGCTCTCTTGATAAGAACCGCTTATTTGCATATAATTACAATGCTTTTATCTCTCGTTGGCATTAAATATAGTATTTTCTTTCATACTTTTCATTTATATAAATGATTAACTTTTTTATTTATTTTTTATATATATATAATTAAACAATGAACTTATTGTGTTTCCTTATTTACTTAGCAACACACACACAAAACAAAACAAAGAGACAATTGTTACAAGTTTGTGATAATTGCAGTCCTGCAATTGGGCATGAAATAACTTCCTGTTGCTAGGGAACCACACACAAACACACACAAACTAGATGCAATTTGCAGTGTCAACGAGAAAACGAGAACGAGATCTAAACTGTAATTACGTAATTCGTAGGAAATTCAATATCCTCTTGAATTCCAGCAAACCGAGCTACTTTCAAGCATCGTCCGTTTACAGTCTTTTAACAAATTTATTATATGAAAGACAAAGAAAAAATTAAGTTCTTATTTTATGTTTTACTCTGTTACAATTATAATTTTAAAATTTGAACGTGTTGTATGATTTGCTCATGCAATAGAAATTGATTCAGAAATCAAAGCGTGCAATGAAAGGAAACAATATCGGTTTACCATACGCTCTTGTATCTACCTGCTACGATAATATTTCCATATCCTATGTGCGGTTTACAAAAATTGTTTTTTTTTTACTGTTGTTATTATCAAATGTATTTTGCAGCGAAAGAAATCTAAGTATCTTCGATAATTAGATAATTCTAACGAATTAGGAAACGTTAAAAGAAAAACTTCCGTTAGACGGTAATAAAATTTCTTCTCGACGTAAAATTATGGTCATTACATCATTATGTAATTACGATTCTTCGGAGAGTAAGTTTCGAACATTGATGTATAATTACCTATTATTATATCCATTAAATAACTAAGTTAACTATATTTAATATATAAATACTAAAGAGATTCATTTTTGGATAAAATCCGATCTTTATGACGGTTGTAAAATAATAATCTTGAGAGCTTATTAAACACTTTACGATGTTTATCTGCTACCACGATTGTAAAACTCAAAGAATACGAAACATTACGTAAACTCTATTGATTTTTACCGTTGTGGGAATAGATAACAAAAAAAATAACAACACTTGATGGCGCATCAAAGATATCACCTGTGACAAAACAAAAAAAAAAGTATCGATTCGGACACAGAAACCAGATGTTTATCCAGTTAACTGTACGTCATTTGAATGAGTTTAAGTCCTGTTAAAAATCAAGTCAAGACCTTTTAACAAACAACAACAAAAAAAAAGTTATTTGTTTGGTAAGTGACAGTAGCAAACAATTGCAATAGAATATTTACAAAAAAAAATCAAGCAGGTCACCTTGTAAGGGCGATTCGGTGAGTGTGCGTTTCTAACAACTGAAAGACGGATTTATCACGCTTATGGGACAGACGATGATTGATTTGTTGTCTTTCTAATCGTTTTCCGTTCGTTCAACTTTTACAATAGATAAATAAATCGAATTGCGCCTTCGCGACGATGTTCGAATTACGTTTTGAGGAGGAAACCGTACACGTACACTTCTACAGATTCTTCGGGAAAAGACGTATTGGATTGCATCTGAATCGATCGATGGTTACGCAACAACCATCGGCGCGCGCTATTGTCTCTACTAATTAGTGGAACGCATCTAATTCTTTTGCATGTATGTGCCCAAGAACAATTCCGTTCCAGACGTTATCCAATTATTTATTGCGTTGTGCAAAGGAATCAATCAAAGACCTTAACTAGGATCGTAGACGATAGAGATTGTTATTGTTTAACAATCAATTCCGAAGGTCGATCGATCGTCTGCTCTCCTCGAAAAGGTTATTGCTTAATATATAATCAAGACCGACAAAAAAAAAAGTATCTAATAATGAGAAAATTAATGCCTGTTACGATCAAAGCTTCGTAGCAATATCTTGAAAGAAAAATAATAAAATTTATAAATTACATTTTGTATTTGCTTTTATGGCTAATAAAATGAGCAGTTAACGCGTAACGAAAGAAAACACTATTAAAAATGAAATGTTATAAATTTACATTTGTATAAATCATTGACAGTTAACTTATTATTGTTGTTTTTAGTTGAAATAAATGAATTCTATCTTATATTGGATCATAAGAGCTTCTATGTTAAAAGACATAGAAAAAAAAGGCAGGCTGTGGTCAAATTTTTGACCTGCGTTCTGCCGTGTTGCCAAGTCTTCAAGACCACGACACGCATACCACAAAAGATTGGCTAATTAATTAAGAAAGGCTAATTCTCACTGTCGTTAATTTAAAGTTTCCGTTAAAGTTTATAACTTTAAAATTAAATTGTATTGTTAATATTCATCGAACATCTTTTTGACGACTCTTACCAATACGAAGAATATCGGTAATAAATTATCGTTTACATCTGTGGTAACGGCAAAAAATTGCGTTTACACGCCCGAAGCCGGGTTAGTATAGCACGTAGAGGTCGAAGAATGCGCGCCAGGTAAATGCAAAGTGGAAACTGGTTTTGGCAATAGTGTTAACGTCGTCCCTTTTCTAGTTTTTCCCCCTTCGAAAAGGGAACTTATTCACAGCTTTAAATTGGCAGGTAGACTGAAATGATATGATGTAGTGTGTGTGAAATGCAACTGATTTTTAGTTTGTTTGCTCCTAACGTTTCCGTTTCCTGCGAACCGACAACACTTTTACTCTCCTCAAATAATTCCATACCGAATTCAATTTACGCCTCGATAATTATAGAACTCAAACAAATATTAAAACTACACAAGGAGCTAATAAAAAAAAATACTTTTCTTTATGAAAATAAACTATTATTCTAGTGTGTTTATTTATTCAATAAATATAGCAAATCCAATAATTAGTCAAAAGCCGGGAGCTTCATTTAAAGCCAATACTCAATTGATTATCAAATTATATTATTGCTTTAAGTTACAGTAAAACACGATTTTTCCAATAATTTAAGTTTTGTGACTGTATAAATATTTGACTTCGAAGCCGTTGGATGTAAATAAACCGAAGATAATGCGACACAAGTATTTCCACATATTGGGTTTATACAATTTCCACTTTATATTTACTTCTAAGGAGAAACGTGTTCATAAGACAGGCGTCCTTAGTAACTAGTGTAGCGTCCATAACAACCACTCACTCACTTGTCATTGAATCCAGAGCAACTGGAAGATGTCCTTAGCAACTGTCATTGGGTAACGTCCTCATTGTTAATCTCGATTAATTTATTATTTCTTTGATTATATAATCAATACAGATACGTTTCATTGGTATCTCTATTTTTAGAATGAAAGCATTAAGAATTCAATAACTATTATTAGTAATGTTAATTGTAAGACGATGATCGATTTACTCAATTTTTACGATGCATGCGTCCACTCATCATGCACTTTATGTCGTTACTTATCATTATGCAAAAAATATGCAATTTCGACGAACCAATTTATTATTGCTTCATGAAACGCAATTTCAGGCGCTGGCCTGTCGACAACACATCATAATTAATTGATTCCGGTGATCGTTTAAAGAGCAATTTAATTAGATAAGCTCTTTATCAAATTGATAAAATAAAAAGTTCTGTAATTTGCCATTTTCATAATCAAAATTGGATGGAATGCCAATTTTTGTTTGTTTACATCGATGTTTCTGGTAAACATCTCAAGACCTGGTTAATAAATTGATTGCTTTTTTTGTCATAATCATCTGTTTGTTGTCAGAATTGACATTGACAATATTCAAAGAATAAAATCCATTGGGTTTTTTTTTTGCACGAGAAGTTCAAAAGGTAATTTTCAACTGTACTTTATTAAATTCTTGTAACACGATAATAAGGGTACAAATGTACACTATTCAATTTAATTAGATTTAAGTTGTTCGATAATTCAACTTAACTACAGGGTGGCCAAATTGAACTGCAACTTTTCAGAACTCTGTATTTTCTTTTATTAGAAATTGGGTTTTATTGAACCGCAAGCAAAAAAATGTTGGAAAACAATTAAATTTTTTATGGGCTTTATTGAACACATTAACACTTTGGTATATTTTAATACTGATATTGACCTGTAAAATGACCAATACCGAAAAGTTCGATTTTGAGTATTTGTTGCATGGTTTTCGACTACGTCGCGAATTTCATTCAATTTGAGCCTTAAGTTTCCGAACCACTTCTACCACAGATTTAGTTATTTTCCGACCACCAAAATAGCATTTTATAACACTACTAGCATCGTTATAACATGTTATGGTTCGAAACACAAAAGATTTATTCACATCAAGGTGTTCGAGGGCTCTAACAGTTACCACTTTTGGTTTTCCGCTCAAATATTGGGCTATCACACGTTTGAATTCCATCACACATAACTTTTTTCCCAAGAAACTGAGAAGCAAATGCTTTTGCAGGCTTATAAACAATAAAATCAGCTATCATTAGCCGAAATATGGACACAACATTGCCAACGGCTCAAAAGTTATAGCATTTTTAAGTTAATTGCAGTTCAATTGGGCCCACTTTGTTTACCATCACAACACTTTATCTAATTTCTTTTTTCCATCGTTTCTTTGAAATTGATTTACATAAATTTTAATATGCTGCACGTGGTGAATAATTAGAATTGCGAGCAGTCGAAAGTAATGACAAAATTACAGCTATCACCTACAGTATCCAATGTGATAAAGCACTCAAAAGTTTTGGATTATGTCATGCGTTTTGAATTATTCATTGCAATCGAAATATTGCGCAAAATGTTTATAGTAATTGAGTTTTACACGAACTGAACGCAAATCGAAAGTGGTAAAAACCAGGTGAATTGCAGTTAAATTACCTTCAATATTAAATGCAATTACTTATTAAAATTACGATAATTAATTAGATGAAGAATTCCATCAATCAGACGGTTATCGTTTTTTTTTTGCACATGCCAAAAAACACGGATCGAAGTAAACATAAACTCGTTTTTTAAGCTCAATAGTTTGTTTGCCGCGAGCAGCGCGTGTCTCGTTGCGAACTTTGATTGATGAGTGTTTACATACATTTACATACATTTTCGACTTTAGTTTGCGATTAACGGAAGAAAATAAAGAATAAAAACAGGAATAGCAATGGAAATTCATCTTACTACTTGATACTTGCCAAGTGAAAATGACCCATGTACGAAACACTAGAGAATGATCATCAAATGCATGCGTTTCTCAAAATTTTTAAATTCACTTTTACTTGTGACAAGTACGCACCATCAAGTGGGAGGAGGGACGGCAGGGGAGGGGGTATCTCTCAGGTTTCTGTTTTATGTAATCCGGACGTGGTGCAGTCAGTGCACGTTTCGATATCGGCTGGATACGACGTATATTTGTTGTAAGTTTGCTTTTAACTCGAACATTTTCAAACTCGATATAGTTGAAATATATAGTAAATCGACGTGTGAATACGTGGGACGTGCTCACGATGCACGTGGTAACAATAATCGCTTCCACCTGTCGACTTGCGACAGTGCGCTCTTCAAAGTCGTTCATCAACGTTAACTATCGCGCATTTCCATATCGATGAGGATGAACGCGTGAACCAATCACTTCTTTTCATTCATTCATTAATATAATAACTTCATTCTGCATCGTCGTTATCAATTCAAAGACGCATGCTTTTATAATTTGCAATTAGTGAGAGTAAAAGTATTTTGTGTTCAAATTACTTTAACTATCTGAAATAAAAATGGAAATGTGCATGTTTTTTTTTCTATATTTGCCAGAACAGTTTCAATGGCTGGTTCGTATCCTTGAACCTGTTATCAATACTATAAATAAAGCATGTCCCAGTTTTTTTTCATAATTGTTGTTAGAATTGTGGAAACGAACGCTTCTAAATTCACGTTTACTTTAAAACAATCTCTATTTATCATTAATTAAAATTCGCGTAATACAGATTCCATGTGGTTATAAATCATATAAAACATGTGCTAATAATTAGTATTAGTGTATTTAGATTATAACGAAATACGAGATAACTACGAAAAAACACATAAATTACTAAGTAATCTAACTTTGTATACACTATAAAATGTACAAATTGTAGTATTGATTATTTTCGTATTTTAGCTGTAAAAGTTCAAATAATAAAGTTAATAAAGTTTGTGATAACTACGAAAATCTTATTAATAATCGAGTGTGCATTTGAAACAAAATAATATAGAGAATCCGTCAAGTCAAAGTTGAATAATTCAGTAGATTTCCAAACCTAACTAAGTACATAAAATTAGAATTCAATTTATTTTCGCGATAACTATAAAGTGCACTTTAATGAATAAACATGCAATTAGAAAACTAATACTGTAAGGAATAAAGTAAACTTATCAGTTGACTTATACAGTGGAACCTCGCATAACGAGCAAATTGAATTGTAAGAAAAATGATTGAACTCGTTATGCGAAGTTCGACTGTAATTCACTGATTTTTCTCGTAATTCGAATGGAAACATTAGAATTAATGAGACCGTTAAATGGAATTAAACATAAATCATCTTCCCTCTAATCAAAAGCGTTTCTTTAATTTGCGTTTGCTATCTCCTCGAACCCATTAAACGCGATCTAGTTTGTCGTTTCGCCTCTCTTACGAAACAAAGGATTTCAACCTCTTTCCTTTCTTTGGACGTTTCGCGACGATAACTCCTCTGACCCGAACCCGACCCACCAACAATGCGTTACATTTTTTATGGGCAAAGTCAAATGGAAAGATTACACCATGTGAACCATGAAATAAAAATAATTTTTGTACATGCAGATTGCGGTGGCTTGTTATTTGAGCGAGAGTTCAGTTCCTGATAGCAAAATATCCGTGCAGGAATTAAAAAAAAATAAATAAATAAAATCAGTTCCAACCAACCAAGATATCTGTGGAAACAAAACAAAAGCGGGAATATTGGATTTCCAAGACTCTCTCTTTATATACTTTATATACTTTATATACTTTATATAAAGTATTATACTATTTTTGTCTTCTGTAATCTAAAACCTGATAAATTCATGATCAATTAAAGATGTTTTGAGGAAATATACCAAATAGTTTCAGCATTCTGCATTTAGAAACGAAAATAAACAACAGTTTGTTATTGCGGGAAAACCCCATCAAAATATTAATTAAAAACGAAAAAAAAGGAGAAGATGCAGAAAATTCGAGGAGGGTCAAGAGTTATCGCCTTGGAAATCAATTAATAGACGATTTAATGCATTTTCTCTGTTATTTTTAGACCGGGAAATTGCGAAATTAGTTTGTTTTTTCTTTGTTCAATTACGTTTTCAGAAATTGAAAAATGTCCGTTACTTAATATACGTTTTTTTTTTAATTGCAGAACTAATTGGATACGAAACAAATAATTCCAATTTGCAGAGAAGATTCTTGGAAGAGAGAGAAAAGCATAACAAGAATTGAAAACGGTGCAACGGTATTCGCATACCATGGTAAGAGTTTACTTTTAATTAAGTTTAAATCTTTCTTTTCAAAGCTAAAAACAATTCAATATTGAGATTACTTTGGATACTTCCAATTCGATGTTTTAGAAAATGCAATATTTGCTTATAAGAAATGAATTAGTGTTCTCTAAACTACTAATACTGCATGATTAACTAACAATTAAGAGTTATTTTTTAAATTTCAATGATTATCATTTTCTCCATTCGTAAATTAACCGGAGTGATTAATCAGTAATTAACAGATGATTCAATGAAGTGAATGTCAGATTTCAAAAGTATTATGAATCAAAGTAATTGCAATTAAAGTGTACATAATTAGACGTAATGAAATGAACGCATCTCTATTATTCGATGAACAAAAAAAAAGTAATGAATTGCACGTACATTTTTAGTTTTCCGAACGCGTGCCAAAAAAAGAATGTCGACTGAATGATTTTTATTTTCCTCTTCCAAAAAAGATCCTTTCACTCGCATTGAAATTCGCTGCGATTTCTTCCCCAAATTGCATCACTCGACGAAACTGTTCACTTAACATTTCAACATTTCAATTGAATTTTATGTAAAAATCTGACCAATTAATGTTTTGTATTGTTTTGCAGACAGACAAGGCGCCAGTAGCAACAACGGAATTGGAGACGTTCCTCCCCCAAGACGGTTCCATCACCAATGGAAACAAGTAAGTGTTGTTGTCTCGTTATGCGTCGTTTTTCTTTTGTGTATTATTTGCTTAACGTCGCGGAATATTTGCGATTGTGTCCCGATATGTGCATGCATCGCATTTTTCTGTAACGGTTTGCAGCAAGCGGGGGAAAAAAAGCGCAAGCGAGTGCGAAATCTAGCTGACCGAAGGATAGAAATAACCGGACGATAGCATTATACGACTTCGCTGTTTTATTTTTTGTTTTGAACATTTTGCGCGATGATTTATTTATCGGTGAGCTGACGAAAGTTGAGCACACATTTTCAAATTACAACCGAAGCGTCTACAGTTGTTTGCTCTAAAGGATACAGTTTTAGTGTATTCTGGACAATGATGGATGATTCGGCTGCGAAAAGAAAGAAGTACGTTTATTTATTTATTTTCCTCAATTTCGAAGTAATTAATTTGAATTTTTTTACATTTCAAGCGAAGTTAATTTAGCGATAAATGTCTTGCAAAAGGATAGTAATTGCCTTCTTAATACTTTGTTTTCGAGGAAATGCAGTCGGCACGTGTCGCGGAAGCTATAAAAATCCGATGCAATTGATCTGTGTAATTTTACTTAATGCAATCTTCGTGTCATCTTTAAGCAAAAAAACATTCTCAAATTGTGTCTTTTGCTTTACATGTACAACTTGTTATGTCTTCATTGGATATTTTTAATGATTTTTATTATGAGTTTACGAAATAACGTTATGATTTTGCAGATACAAAGTGACGAAGGAGGATCCGGAGGCGGCAAACGGAGCCCTCAACCATGACTTCGACCCGTTCAAGGCCCGAGTGCTCGACCATCCCGTGTCGTAAGTATCCTTGGCGCAAAAAAATTTGACCTAGAATTGAACACTTGATAATCTCTCTTCAATAGAAAAACACGACGGTTCGCCTAATCTCAGATACGACCTTTAAATTCACATTTTCCGACTCATTTTTGGACTTTAGGTCATACGTAACTTTGACCCTTCAATGATGACCCGCGTTCATGTTTATTGCGGAACATCCAATACCTTCAATGTAATACAACACTCTCACAAACAATATTCAGTTCGAATTACTTAATTATAGTTGTTGTTTGTAACTTGATTGATGATTAGAGACACACGAACAATTATACTTGAGTTGATAATCTAAGCATAAATTATCAAAAATTCACTGCGAAAACCAATCAGTAACATTAAGAAATATTATGAAATGAAAGAATATTGATGAAAATCCTGCTAAATAAATACACCCCTAAAGTAAACAGACTGAGCGAAATTATGTGAAAGAGATTAGATAAGCCTTGAAATTGACTACCGAATTTCATTAGTTTCTAAAAATTTGTTCAAATCTATTGAATCTGATTTATTTTTTTAGCAAACAAGTTAGATATTGTAAATAATTTTACGCTTCTACGAATAGTTTGCGTAGTCTTCCAATAATATTTACGTTGTCTGAGAAGAAATGAATGAAAGTGCGTACAATTTACATATTGAAGTACAGTGGAACCTTCGGATATTTACTCGTGTATACACAAGTTTTGCGTCACTCGTTATCCGAGGTTTCACTGTATATTGTTTTTCATGAGTTCCTTTAAATGTTGTACTGTAAAATTCATTTGTATTATGTCTGTTTCATAAGTCTTGGAATTGATTTAATGATTGATTAAAGTTTAAATTGGTTAAATTTGTGATTAATTGTTTTATTCGTTTTCAGGGATTGCGACACACTCACACATTTACTTAAGGCTTCTTTGGGTACGGGAATATTGGCAATGCCCGCCGCTTTCATGAGCGCCGGTCTCGTGGTCGGTATCTTCGCGACGATAATCGTGGCCATCATTTGCACACATTGTTCGTACATATTGGTAAGTGAAGAGATTGTTAAATTGGAATTAGGAAATCGAGTTGCTGCACCAACTATTCAATGTATTAGGGTGCCCGCATAACAGTCCGAGCAATTGAGACTTTTATTGCCAAAGAGACCCACAAAGAGATTCAATTCAAGTGGGTTAAACTGATTTGCGGCCACTTTAAGACCGATTTATCACTGTGTTTTGAAACGCTAACGGTGATGATGATGATGTTGATTTTGTGTGCAGGTTGTCTGCGCTCACGAACTGTACAAAAGGTCAGGAAAGACGGTGATGAGTTTCGCCGACGTGGCAGAGGAATCTTGCAGGAGAGGACCGAAATGGAGTAAACCGTTCGCGTACGCGGCGAGGCAAATCGTTCTCCAAGGCATCTTCGTGACGTACTTCACGACGTGCAGCTGTTACGCCGTGATCGTCGCCAAGAACTTCGAGCAGGTCGCCTCGCATTACATGGGCGCCGAAGTCAGTCTCCGACTGATCATCGCCATCCTTCTGATACCGCTCATCATCCTCTCATATATTCCAAACTTGAAGTATCTGGCGCCGGTGTCGATGGTGGCTAACGTCTTCATGGCCGTCGGATTGGGCATCACCTTCTATTACCTCGTCTCCGATATTCCGCCGATCACAGAGAGACGACTCGTCTCGCCGATCTCCACCTTCCCCGTCTTCTTCAGCATCACGATCTTCGCCATCGAAGCCATCGGCGTTGTCATGCCGCTGGAGAACAACATGGAAACACCTCAGCACTTTGTCGGCATCTGCGGTGTCCTCAATCAAGGCATGAGCGGCGTCACCTTGATCTACATCTTCCTCGGTTTCTTGGGTTACTTGAAATACGGAGACGAGACTTTAGGTTCGATCACATTGAATCTGGAACCTGGCGACTAGTAAGCAAACACACACACTTTATAACAACTTGCATCTATAATTCAACTTTTATATTTATCTTCGCAGCGCCGCCCAAGCTGTTAAAATCCTGATCGCCCTTGCCGTTTTCTGCACATTCGGCCTGCAGTTCTACGTCGCTCTGGACATTGTTTGGAACGGAATCAAGGACTACGACACCTGCAGAAAATTCCCGACCATCGCCAACTACATCCTCAGGACGGTTCTCGTCACCCTTTCGGTGGTGATAGCCATAGCGGTGCCAACTATCACGCCCTTCGTCTCTCTGATCGGAGCGTTCTGCTTCTCTATTCTGGGTCTCCTCGTTCCCGTCTTCCTCGAGATCATCACCTTCTGGGACAAGGGTTTCGGCAAATACAACTGGAAGATTTGGAAGAACGTCGTCGTCGTTATAGCCGGTATCTTCGCCTTGGTCTTCGGCTCGAAATCAGCGATAGAAGACATAGCAACCATTTACACAACGTAAAATGAGTGACAAATAATAGGACACAATTGGAAAACCGAAATCAATGTTCCTTTAGCCAATTTATATAAAATTTTATTTGTTTTCTTTTTTTATATATATATATATTTGTGTATGAGTTGTATATTTGAATGTACACTATTGTGTACACTTGATTTGTTTTTCTTTCTTTTGTTCTCTTACGAGCAAACACCATGTACATAGTTATTAATATGTACGCAATACAAATTGATCATATTTATATTGAAATTCGAATACTTTTACTCTTTCTTTCTTTCTTCGTTCACGATTGTGCAAAAGCTTCACACAAGTGCACTTAATCATTGTAGATAATAAAAGAAAACATTATTATTATTATTATCATCATTATTGCTATTTGCGTATGTAAACACCGGAAACAAAATGAAAACAACGACATCAACAAAGTAAAACAGTAAAAGAAAAAATAAATAAATCGGGGGAGAATTAATAATTTTAGATGTTATATATAAATTTTATATAAAAAAAAAGGAAAAGATTTTTACTAATACTAGAATGAATGATTTACGTCGAATGCATTTTATACAGATTTTGAATGTGAAATAAAGCTAAGGTACGATTTTATTTGTTTTAATCTCTTATTTTATCTTATCTAAAGAAATACTATCTCTCTTATAAATCTTTTAAATGTGTGGTAATCAGAAATTAATTTCGTTCCGGTTTACGGTCAATTTTTAAAGCTCCAGATTCGGTTTCGGTTCGTCTAAAAATTTCGGTTCAGTTCCGGTTGAAATTAGTTAAAATTTTTATTTACCAAATTCCCAAATTCTTACTGCTGTTTTCAATTATAATACGAAAGAATAAACCTCAATTAGTATTAGTATCCTTTTTTAGTCACTTTCATTTGAGTTTGTTCTAATGTTAGTTGCATTGTTTGTTTATATACTCTATATGAATGACTATATAAATAAACCAAAACACAATTAAAATTTCGTTCCGGTTTCGGTTTTTCAATTGAGCAATGTTTCGTTCCGGTTACAGTTAAGGTTCAGTGAAAAATTCCGGTTAATTTCGGTTTACGGTTTTCGACTCTCTGATGCTAATATTTATTAAAGAATTGTAAGATTCACCGATTAAATTGGTTTAAAAAACTAAAATGTGTGATTGATATTTACAAAATAAGCTGACAATTGTAATAATTGAGAAATACAACAGGTTGTGAAGGATGTAACACCCTGTATATATATATAAATGATGGTATTGCCTAGGCAACCGCTGTGTCATGGGTGTTTTGTGGGATGGGAAAATCGTGAAGTTCGTGAGTTTTGACAAGAGGCGTTAAAAAGGATTTTTTGTCGACCGTTCAAAGTTGATAACAAGAAAAATTCATTGAGTTGTTGGCGATCGGCGAACGTCCTGAAAAAAATTATTGCCGGCCAAACGATGTCCAAGCCGAAGGAAATGAACAAGAACAGCTACTATACGACGTACGCCACTAGGATCGTCTTGAATACGGCTTCCCATCCAATCGAATACGCTAAAGTTTTAATACAGGTTAGAATTGAGGACATCCATATACACCAATGTTATTTCATATTCTTCATTATGAATCCAATCTAAAAATATAATTCTGCGATGATATATGTCATATGACTGTCCATGCTTTCAGATTGGCTTCGAACCCATAGCCCCAAAGCCATGCACGACATTCTTGGGAAAACCTGCACTGAAACTGCCAAACATTTTCGACTACAGTAAAGCATTATGTAAACAGGGACCGACGCGGAATGTAAAACTAAATCCTCTTTGAATTTCCAGTTAGACACATTAAGAAGGTTGACGGTTTTGTGGGGCTGTATAGGGGATTGGTGCCCAAACTCTGTGGAAACATTGTCTGTGCTGTTGCCTCGGAGAAGATATTGAAGAATTACGATGGTGATTGTCAGAATGAGCACGAGGATAATGAGCAGACCCAAGTGGTGGATTCAAAGTAAAATCAGTTTAATTTTATTGTGATCGATTGGTAACAACAATTTGTTTCTTTAGACAAAAATTTATCAGTGATTTGAAACGAGAAGTCATTAGTAGGACTGGTTCAATTATTATAAGCCATCCGTTCCACGTTATTACTATTAGAATGATGGCTCAATTTGTGGGAAATGAAACCAAGTACAAGTGAGTGGAAATCGTTAATTTCGATTTGCAGAGAAGTTGTTAATTTTGTAATTTTAGCGGATTGTTCGGTTCGATACATGAAGTGTACAAGCAGAACGGCGTCATGGGCTTCTTCAGTGGACTAGTTCCTAGGGTGATTGGAGATTTAATTTTCGTACTTTTAGCCTCGACTCTAACGTACGCGCTCAACTCGTACGTATTCGAGGAGGCCGAACTGCAAGTGTACACGAGTGCCACGATGTCGGTGAGTGTCCGATGAGATTAATCAATTTGTAATACTGGATTGATTCAAATTGGAATCGTTTTTAGTTCTTAGCAAGTGCGATTACATATCCCTTCCAAGTGGTGTCCAACTGTATGACCGTGTCGAACTCCGGTTTGGCCGCCGGTTCGATGCCTTTCATGCCGTTCTACACCTCGTGGGCGGATTGCTGGTTCGATCTTTCGAACAGGGGTCAGCTGAAGAGAGGCTCCAGCTTATTGATCAGGTACTACACCGGGCCTCAGGTGATTATCAGCGGCAGGCCGGTGCCGTTGCCCAAGGGAGATTCAATCAATTTAAGTTAAAATGGAAATCTGCGTGGAATACCGTCTGTGTGTGTGTGTAGTATTGGTTTTTCTTTTCTTTTTGTGTGTTGTTCAATTTGTATTGAAAATGCATTTTGCTCCCCTCTGTAAATTATCGATTGCTTTTAAAAAGAATATATGTGTTTATATATGTCGTCCTCTGTACATATTTTGAAATTGCATTTCTCCGATGCTCTTCTCTTCTGCTCTGGTTAATTAATTGGAAAAAGATTGGCAGAAAGTTAAATGGAAATGGTTCATTTGTATTGATAATTCTTAACACTTTTCCATGTAAATAATTGATGGCAGAAAATGTTGTGGTTCAATCTTAGGTAATCAATCGTTACTTTCTATCACCTTTGACATTTGCATTGTTATTTATCAATTTTTATATGAAAGCAATAAACAATGTGATAAACGTTAAGCGATCATTTCAATATTCATACTATACATTAATTCAAGGCCAAAATGTAGCATTTCTAAGGTTTCAAGGGTGTATTCAATCAATATCGTCTGTCTTGTATTGAAAGTGTTTCTATACTACAAAGAATACAATAAACATTTACTTTTATCTGCAAGTTAGTTAATTACACTTTCTCTTATCTATTCATTAATCCAATTGATTATCCACATCCAATAGCAATACTAATTTAAATAATATATACAAATTATTTCCTCAACCTAATTCCAATTAGTGATATTGGATCAAGGTTTACTATGTAAACAATTCGATTGTTTATAACAAAACTTGTTTCAAATAAATTATCTCATTTTGATTGGTGAGATATTTGCAATTAGCAGCGCCCTCGTTACGTACTAAAAACATCCGCATCCAATAGAAAGCGATTATTCAAAATGTGCGGCGCGAATCGATCACGTGCAAATTTATTTAAGTAAAAACTAAAATTTGAAAAAAGAAACAAATAAAAAATGCGTACTTACTTTAAGCCAAAAATACAATGAAGAGGATTTTCGTTCATCAGAAAAATACGTAACGCGATGATCCACGACTATTAAACTAGATGAGAAACAAGGACCAACTGTGATTTTCAAGTTATTTATAATCGTATCTTTTTTATCCAAGTACTCCTTACTATTTTATCCTGCCCTCTATCGTCCCTCACGGTAGAGCGCCCTTGCCCTATTGTCCCTTTAATTAAGTCCAGCCCAGCTGACTGTGAATTGGGCCAACAGTGCAGTAAATAAAGGGTGGTTGTGTTCAGGAGAAGTTGAAGTTTTAGTTCAATTTAATTTCTTCTCAAAACTGTGAACTTACAAGATGAGCCTTCAAATGAATAACAACTTGATAACTGATACTGTAGTTGAAATACTAGAAATGGGTAAGTTGGATATAAATATTGATTTCTTTTTCTTTGGGTATGATATAAAAGGGAATGTTTTTCAGCGAATCTACCACCCAGCCAACTTGATAGTTTCTCCTTGGATAGTAAAGATCTGACCATCTCCATGAAGGAACTTTTAAAATTATACACAAAGTAAGCTTATTTACTTGTTACCTTTTTGTTTTAATTACTATCCTGCAAATTATTCAGGTTGATACAGATACCCAGCAGCAATCACAATGCCATGAGAAGGAAACTGCTCTATCACTTGTCCTTTTTCAAACTGCAACTGTTACAATTCATGACTCTGGATAGTTTCTACAAGCTCATCGAGGGTTTACTAGGGTTTTACTGTAGATTGGAGCTAGAAATAACTAGTATAGATTGTGAGAGACAGGAAGAAAACACTGACAATACTGAGGAGTGGATCTGCAGAACATCGGATAGAATTTTAACTGTGCTCAAAACCTATTTGAAAAACAGTGAGAAGCACATTTTCAAGTTATTATTGCATGTCAGCAGGCAAAATCGGAATGAATATGGTTGTGCTGTATTGAGGATACTGTATTGGTGAATATACAAGCTGTTGTTTTTTCAATGATGAATTGCTAATAAGATTTTTGTTGTTTTTCAGTCAAGTTTTGAATATTTATCCTTTGCATTATTTGTACACTGAAGCATTGTGCAGGAAGTACATTATATTGATGAAGGTGATTGAGCACAATACAGAAAATTTTGCTGCAAACGATCAGAAGATGTTGACAAAATGCCAGTTCTATACTGATCATATTATGGATTTAACTTTCTCAGTCAATAATGGAAAATCTTTGAAGTTCCAAAATAACGTTTTTAGTTTAGTGAGCACGATTCAAAGTTTGGTCCATAAAGTAAGATGATACAATTCACTACTCACTATGAAATTTCTTAATTCATTTCTTTCTACTTTACAGGAAAGTTCAAGTGATAATGTGATATGTGATGTCGATGTTTCGCCTATTGATGATGTTGACGATCTACCTGAGAAACCGATTACTGAAAACGTGATGTCTACTGATGAATTGGTGAACTTGCTGGATTGCGGCAATCAGAAGTCGGAATCGATTGATAAATTATTAGCGATGAAGGCGATACGACGCAAACCTAATTTACTACTCAAGAAAATTGATCCAATAGTCATGAATCATTTAGATAACAGTACGACCACCGCAAAAGATAAAACCCGCAAAGTACATTTTAAAATTCCCACACAACTGGATATTGCAATCAATGACCATGAAAAATATAAAAAGCAATCTAATAAAAAGGTACAAACTCCTGAGAAATCCAATGAAAACTCTGAGGTAATTGCAATTACACAAAAAAAAATTGTATAAAAGTACTCACCTTTTCATTACTTTGTTTAGAATCTAACTATTGAAAGTATATTAAAGGATGAAGATATTCTTTCACAATGTTACGATAAAAATGAAGCAATCATCGAAAGGTATATTTTTACAATAATCGTTGGGTGTAATCGTTGATTGTAATGTTTGAAATTTCAGCCTAAGAAATGTTCAAATTTTGAAAAAACTCTTCCTGATAGTTTTATCAAATAAAGAACCGTTGGATTTGTTTGATACGAACAAGGCGTATCTGATCCTCTGCGCAATAGTTCCCTTAATCAGGGTCTTCATAGTCTGTAAATGTGAACTTATACAGTTCTTAATCAACTTTATAACGCAGAAGACTCCTTTGGATCCAATGTTGGCGTCGCGATATTCCAAAATTATGACCCTTTTAGTGGTCAGGAGCGACGATGAGGTACGTTAACCAGAAGAGTTCACAATACAGCTTCATATAATTAATGCTCGTCTTGCAGGATTGGTACACTTACAGGCGTGAATGCAATTTAGTGTTGGACTACATCCAGTGCAGGAAAATGATTAACGGATTGTTGTTCCACGTCGAAACGGCGGCGATCAGAGACTTACTGATGGTCCTCATGACGCAGGTTTACTTGAAGCAGCGCATCATCATCGTCAGTCTTTACTATCAAATCCCTTTTGCATTCACTATATAGTTTGTATCGTATTTGCAGTTTTTGAATGATCACGATTTGATCCAGTCGTTGATCAAGATGTTGATCTCGAAGTTGGGACCTGCGAGGAACGACAGCGTCGCACAGCTTCTGCACGAGTTCGGACAAATTGCAAACAGGAATCGCAGAACGCAGCAGAAGAGACACAGGACGGATGTGCTGCTCAGCACATTGGAACAGTATTTATAACATTGATTTACATTTTAGTTTCACAATAATACTAGGTTTTTTTCTTTTTAACTAAGGCCTTCAACGATCCGCCTCTTGTTAAACACGATTTTCACGAAGCACAGATCCGAGAGCTCCTTGGTCGGTGGTATGAAAGTGCTCATTGGCTTACTGAAGTACGAGAAATCAACGTGAGTTCCAAAATGTGCACATTATTTTGTATTGATTTGCGTATTTTTTCAGTATTTCGAAATACTATTATCCGAAGAGCTACAATACTACGGAATCCCAGATGCTTCCAGCGCTCAAGTATTTGGAATTAAGGTGGATCGAATCCACCGCGCATATAGTGACGGAACGATTATCCGATTTTCACGAAGTACTGATGCATCCACCGAAAGTAACGAAACTTGTCGCAATAATACGTTTAATTTAACTTTTTACTGTTTACTGCAGAAAGCCAGCATCGAGACAACTGTAGGTTTATTGAAGGTACCAATGGGCAACACCAGAATCCAAGTTGTGACATTGTTGGCGGTTCTAATTAAAATCGGTAATAATGATACAGTCACAAAGTTGGTGTCTTTGGGCACGATGAAAGTGATGCTGGACCTATTCTTCTCTTATCCCCTGAACAACTTGTACCACATCCAAGTGTACGCTTGCATATTGGCCTCGTTCCAAACGTACGATTCGTGCACCCCTAATAAAACCAGTTTGGCGATGCACGTGAGTACAATTATTATAAGAATTATGATTTTATTAAAAAATGCATCATTTCAGCTGCTCGTCGATTGCCAATTGGTGGAGAAGATAAACAAATTCTTGTTGCACATCGACCCCAAATCGTAAGTCACAAATTTGTTTTTTTTGAACAATTACATCTGAGTAAACTTTGAATAAATTTTATTGTTTCTATTGGTAGGACTAAATCGAGACCAGGATTCTTGGGTTGGTTGGTAAAAATTGCCAATGTCGTGGCAGATTATTGCGAGATGAGGAATCCTCTTGGTAAAGAGCTTCGAAAGAAAGCGCCCAAATCCTTCAAGCTGCTGCAACAATTGAAAGCCGGCCGATTACGTGATATAGTCCTGATTTTCATGTATCCTCTGATGGTAAATATTTTAGCAAATCTCTTTCTTTTTTCAAAAAAAAAATACATGTATTTTAGGGCGACGAGTTTGACGACAGCCATTCCGATTAGAGAATAATAGAAAGCTGTGTTGCTTACACCGACCGATTCTACCTCCATCGAGTTCAAATTCATTAGGATAATTTTATAAGTAGCATTTTATAATTTATACATGAATATAATTTACAACTATATTATTGATTATTTAATTACTAGTGTGTGTGTTTTCTAATTAAGACTATTTGTTTCCAATTTGCATTTATGATATTGATAAATCAATGAAAATAATCTACGAGAGTCGAACAGAACCGTAAACCGAAATTAACCGGAATTTTTAATTGCTCAATTGAAAAACCGAAATTTTAGTTACGGTTAATTTCGGTTCGATTAGTTCATAATCTCTTTCTAGTGCTTGTTTCGACATTGCCTTGATCGGTCTATTGTTAATAGAGTATATAAACAAAGAATTGATGAAGTCTCTTTGAATACTTCTTTTTTAAAATAAACAAATACATAATAAACAAAACCATCAAACGCCAAACGCTTAATCATGAATATAAATAAAGCTTTAATCTTCATCAATCGACCACCGACTAAAAAGAGAAAATTTGAAGAAGAAAGGGCAAGCACAAATCTAACATTAGAACAAACTCAAATGAAAGTGACTAAAAAAGGATATTACTGTTAACATGACTGAAGAAACATTACAGAGTGAATGTGTTGAACTAGTCACAATAGTGTTGAACAATAGTAAGAATGGAATTTGGTAAATAGAATTAAATCAAAATTTTGATATTGGACTCGATTTTAAATTGCTTTTTTTTCGATTATAATTTCAACCGAAACCTAATCTGGAACGGTAAACATTTACTTGGAACGTAACCGTAAACCGGAACGAAATTAATTTCGGTTCGACAAATATTTATAGTTCCTTTATAAGTTAGTGTTTTTTTCAGTCATAAATTAATTGAATCGAAGAAGAAATAAAGTTACTAATGTATGTTCTTAATTTACAGAACTAAATGGTTTCAGTGACATCAATAATGTCGATAGTTGTAATAATTAGTTAATAATTTTGGGGGAAGAAAGGGATGAATTTTGAATTTGGCGCCGTCGATCTGTCACAGGGTGATGTTTGTGAGTGCGAGAGAGAGAGGGAGCGAGTGGTGCGTGTGTATTCAACAAGTGCATTATGGGAAGGAAGAATAATGGTGGTCGCTGCTGCTGCTGTTGTCAATCTGTCCGCTTGATACAACAATTTCGAGTATTTTCGTGTTCACCGGAGTGGAGTGTTGGTCCTTCCTTGTAACGCAGTGAGTGAGTGAGTGGCCGTGCGCGTCCCCATCATCATATCATCGTTATAACACCCCCCAGTGATTGATTGATTGATTGTGATTCCATGTGATATGCAATTTAATGCTAGTGATCCGCAACGACCAGCAGCATCACCCAACAACCACGACTGTTTTATTATTATTATCCAAGTGGGGTCATTTCAAATGAACCTAACCCAACGACCTTTTTAATTGTTTGCCCCCCTTTTTTGTTTTGTTTTTAATTAATTCTACACCCCACACACATATATATATATATAACCACACTTATATATATATACATACACATATAAATTTATACATTTTACAAATAAGGTGAGTTATTCCCACACGCCAATGGTTGCTTGATCGTCCTCTATTGTGTAATTACACGTTTGTAAGATTCACTGTCTGTTTTTCGCTTCGCTTGTCCCCCTTTTTTCCTCAGAAATTTCCCCCCAAACGACAGCACTGTAAAAAAAACTTGCTTCCTCCCCCACTGCTCCTTTCCCTAACGGAAAGGTTCGGTTTTCCACACCGGCACCCGTTCCGTTCCGCACGACGATTTTCACGATGGAAATGTCAATTTAGAAAGTACAACTGTCATCATCACAGTCAATTGATCAAGTCACTGAATCTTGCAAATTGTTGTTGCAAATGCTAATACACCATCATCACCACCTGTCCAAATTGTGTCTCACCCACTGATTTACTTTGCAGCCTTAAAAACTACACAACCGAAACATGTATTGGAAGTACAACAACACTGGCCAGATCGAGACGAAGCTGTTCAAAGAGGTTAGTTCCATTCCATTACTAGAAAACAACCCTCCCATCGTCTTCTCTAAACACTCATCGCAGATCCTAACAATCAGCTAATCACATAATATGATTGTATTAAATCTAGACGCTTTATTCATATATCATTGTATTTATTAATTCAGAAGCTTTTCAATTTCACATAAAAAAATTAATAAAAGGTATTGAATCAACTGCACATTGCAGTCATTTCTATAAATAGATGATTTTTGGCTATCGTAATTGTATTAATTAACAATCATGATTGATTCAATTGAAGCACTTAGTTATTGAGAATTTATTTGTATTACATTTTATTAATTCATTTTTGCTTTAGTAATATAATAGAACATTTGTCTAAATCTATTTATTATTATGTTTAATGACATATCTTTTAGTTAGTAATAGATTTATTATATAAACTATGAACAATTTTTTAGAATATTACACTCAAGAAACTTATGGATGAAGATGGTATCCTGAACGAATGCAAGGTGCAAAATAAGGCGCTAATAAATTTGTGAGTATAGGATTTGGATGCAATCGAATTGCTGATTGTGATTTTTATTTATTTTTTTTTTGTGCAGTTTAATAAAACCGGAGATTCTGGAGGAGCTGGTGACACTGACGACCACCGAACCCAGCGGCGAGACGGACGAGCTGAATCGCTTCAAGTATCCAAACATCGCCTGCGAACTGTTGACCTGCGATATCCCGCCACTCAACGAGCGACTTGCCGGCGATAAAGCTCTGCTGAACAAGTTGTACTCGTTCCTGGACAGCGATGAGCCCCTAAATCCACTGCTGTCTTCATTTTTCAGCAAGATCATGGCTGTTCTGATCGCGAAAAGACCTGAGCAGGTATAGTCGAATGTTTTTTTTTGTTTTGTCTGTTTACGTAATTTACGTCTACCGTTTCATTTGCAGAATTGGCTTTCATACCAGCTGACTTGTCTGCAGGTCCTGGACTTCCTCAAAGCCAAGGAGAACTTTGTGTCTTTGCTGCTGAAGCACATCGGCACCTCAGCGATCATGGACTTTACGCTCAAACTGATGTCCCAGGTTGGCGGTGTGCAATTGCGACAGAATATCTTGGGCGTGAGTATTTTTCTTTCAATCTCTTCTCATCTTTTTGTAACGCTGATTTTTATAGTATTTGGATGATCAGAAGATGATTCAGTCATTGATCGGTTTGCTTCGTCCTAATGAGGACAGTGACAAACATCATAACGTCGCTCAATTGCTGTGCGATTTCCATCAGTTGGCCCGTGATAATCAGCGCCATTCGACGGAGACGAACGATCCGGATTTGCTGTTGAACACGCTCGAGATGTAAGTTTGTTGAAAAATGAAATAAATTATTAAATTAAAATTGATAAACTAATAATATGTTTAGGCCAGAAACAGTTGATTTGCTATTGGATGTTATTCTCGGTGAGGAAAAGAGCGAATCCGGTATTGTCTCTGGTATACAAATTATATTAGAGTTATTAGACGCCAATAAATCTAGGTAAGTTTTTCGGATTGTGATTATTTTTTTTTTTAAATCAATTTATTTATAAAATGTGAATAATTTCTAGCATTCCAAAGTATGAATTCGCAAATGCCTATGATGAGAATTACCAGGATCTCAGTGATGGGGATTGTGATAGACAAGTTGTCGAGAGCACGACGAGAGTGATCTTGAAACGACTGAAGGATTTCCATAAATTACTACTCGACCCTCCAAAGGTATTGAAAACGCATTTTTTTTTTCGTTGCTGTTTCTTCATGTGGTATGTGTTTTTTTTAGAGAGACCCTATAGTGACTACATTTGGTGAACTGAAGCCGCCCCTAGGCAACACCAGACTCCAGATCATTAAATTGTTGGCTGTCGTCATCGGCTGCGGCGGTCCAGAGATCGCTCAGGAGCTCGTGTCGCTAGGAACAATGAATGTTCTCCTAGATCTGTTCTTCGCCTTCCCCTGGAACAACTTCTTACACGCTCAAGTTCAAGCGTGCATCGCAGCCGCCCTTAATTCGCCTTTGCCCACTGAGCAGGGCGATAACGTTGCCTTATCTAAACACGTAAGAATATTTAATATTGATCGAAAATCAGTCGCATGTAATTAACCATCGTTCTTTTCTGTTGCAGTTATTGGTAGACTGTAAATTAGTAGATAGAATTCTGGATGCGTGGAACGAAAATGAAAATAGACAGTGAGTAATTTAATTGTTGAGAAAAACTGAGAATTTAGATGTAACTTATGTTTTATTTATTTTTTTAGAACTCAAAACAAAGGAGTGAGGCAAGGTTACATGGGCCACTTAATTAATATTGCTAATAATGTAGTCAATCTGTGCACGGAAGGTCCTTTGACTTCCGTGCTCAAGGATAACTTACCCGAGCTTGTCGAAAAACTGCAGACGTTCAAGGAAGGTCCTCTGACAGAGACCAATAAGAAACAGGAGTCGTGGCTGGTAAATATATTTTCATTTGATTGCAGTGAATTTGTAAAATGCATTTGTTGCTTTTAGGCTGGACTAAATCCGCACGTGTCCAATGACGAAAGCAGCGATTACAGCGAAATTCCATTCCCACAATCGGAAATCGGAGAACAAGTAAATGTACAGCGTCCGAAATGTAATTACCCGATGTTTAACTTATATCCTATTTATTCCTATTCAGAATTTCAACGAGTACCAGATGCAGCAGCTCAACTCCAATTTCTGCGATACATACGGGTACAGTGATGATGAATTCAAGGACGGCGACGACACGTTAAAGTAAGTTTGGCGATGTTCTCTCGTATCCTGTGATGAGTTAAATACTTCTGTTTAGCATCAAATTTAGATCGGTCATGAACTTTGACTTGTCAGAAGGAGATTTGGTCCATCAGCACGAACTCTTCAAGCAGGTCTGCGCGCAAAACATCAACACGTTGGACGACGCCGAGGATCAGATCTTTGAAGACAAAGAGCACACCTTCCAGACCGTTATCGAGAAGGACGTCGATCGGAACAGCGACAGCGACGACGAGGGTAGTCCGCGAGGCGATGATCCTCTCATGGAAGTCGAACGTGAGTCATCGTCACACACACATTACTAATGTTAAGAATTAAGCCAAGTATATTTCAGCTTGGAATTCGTCGAACAGACCTAGTGAAGCTGCGTCCTTTAACTCTGAGAATCCATGGTATTCGACCATCACGGACGTGAGTAACGCAACGGGCTGGGCGGACTTTAGCTCAGCTTTCGATGCTGACTTTGAGAGCGTGCAATTTAATACGAACGGCAGTCCGAAGGTAGCGACGTCAACACCTCCGCGCGTCGAGGGCGATCTGTCCGTGGAGAGCATCGACGGTGAACAATTAGTGGAGAATAATTCCGTAAATTTTATTGAAGTTTCTCAAGTCGATGGAGAATTGGGGGGCACGGTGGTAATTGAACAAAACCCGTGAGTGCATATTTCATCTAAGAAACGAAAAACAAATCAAATACCTAATGATTGATTGCTTTTCAGATCCGAAGTGATAATGGAAGAAGTGACGGGGGGGTCGACAGTAGTAGTAGCAGCAGCAGCAGCATCATCACCACCATCAGCAGTCGATGAGATGATAACAACCACCGCAAATGCGGCGACGGAGAATAACGTGGGAGCAGCCAGCAGCAATGAGGCCGTGTGAGATAGAATACTCTGCTGACATATCACAATAATAGAATTGTCTGTGCGAATGCCATAATGGACAGATTGTTTGTATAGTATTTTGTAATTACCAAGTTTTAATCATCACTAATTATCCCCCGAATGTTTACGAAAACAATTCTCCGTTTGTTTCTCTTTATTTTAATTGCTACTTATTATTATTATTATTACTTTTGTTTGTTTGATATTTGTTTAATTTTTAAAACGTATAACTGAATTCATCTAGCAATATATAACACTGAGCGCGTACCACTTTTGTCTGAGAGCGATCTTTTGATGGAACACACACACACACAAGTCAAGTGGGGGCCTACTATTATTATTACTATTACTACTACTATTATATTATTATTATTTTTTTGATCTCTTGCGAGGGAAAGTTTCGTTTCGTGTGAATGTTCATTTATTTTGTTTCTTTCTTCTTTTTTTTTTATATATATACATAGATATTTTAATAATTTTATAATTTCTCAGCACAAACTCTGTTCAGTATTGTGATAAGGATATCCCCCCAATTTAGAAAAAAAAAACAATGGATGATGATTATGTGAAAGGAAGGGGGGACGGAAGATAGGATGGACAGATATATTCAATTTCATAATTAATACTTTCCAGGTGTGTTTGGTAGCTGCTACTCTACTACGGCTTTAATTAATGCGCTACGGCTTAGGAACTGGATTAACTATCAGATTGAATATATTAGTGTAGGAAGAGAGTGTGTAGCTACAGAAAGAAATATAAGCAAAAGCAGGTGATGAATATGAAGAAATTCAGAGTGATGATGTTGATGATGATGAGTCGAGACGAGAGAGCAGCCTGTATTTTAGACATTAGTTACTTTATTGTGCCTGTTATTGCAATCATAAATGAAAATTATACCAAATATTTTCGCGGTGTAATCATCGAATAATAAGAAATGGAAAGAGATGTAATAAGAGGAAAGACAGAGAGAGAGAGAAGGAAAGAATTAGATACTTAATGATTTTTCATTTATTTATAGTTATTATATTTGACACAACTTTGTGATATCTATTATATATAATATATAAAAAAAAGAATATTAATAATGATATGTAAATGAGAAAATTATTTATGGAATTTGTGTCAACGGATGGATGGAATAATTTTATTTTATAATTTTCTACCCTGAACGAACAAAAGAAAAAGCGAATTGGATCTACAACACTATAATTTTACTTTTTAAACATTTCATTAAGAGAAGAGAGAGAGAGAGAAAAAAAAGGGAAAAGAACGGCAGTACAAAGGTGTTATTTCTAGCTAATGTTATTTACAATGTTCTTTTTTTTGTGTTTATAAATTTTAATACCAGTAAGATTTTTTTTTTCATTTTGTTTTCACTTTATGAGCAGACTATAACTTCTGTGATTACAGATTGTGACAAAATTCCTCTATATACCAAGAATGTTGATGATGATTGTGAGGGTGAAATGAAGCTAACGAATGGAACATTTTATTTGTTCTATGTTATTACTTTTACTTATTATTAATTTAATTGTTTCACTTCGTGTGCCTAGGCATTATTATTCTATTACAAAAAAGAAAACACATTCACTTTATTGTTATAGAAAGAGAGAATAAGGAAAAACAAACAGCAGATTTTATTTCCATTGTGTACGACTTTCGTTCCAATAAAACAAATTTAACACTACGTTTCGTTCTATCATCAACTTTGCAATATCCAGTTAATATGAGTAATTAATTAAATGAAGTTAAGTAACTTATTTAAATTTAGTTATAAATGAACCAATAATACGTTTGCAGCTAACTTCATGAAAAAAAGTAAGGGATTAATTGTATGTTTTCCACAAAGATGGAGTAACCTGTCTTTCAGTCAATCTCTTTTTAACGCTGTCAGTTTTGTTTGACAGCCTCATTGGCCGTAGCTGAAAAGTGTTTATGTTTTTACCTATTTACAGAGAGAAATAGTATATTACAAAGCAATCATGGTATGTATTATTTGCGTATTATAAGACTGTTGATATGTGCACGTTTCTTATTGTTTAAATCGCTCGTGAAAACGTTTCAGAGAAATCTTAACCTAAAAACATATTGGGCATCTTCGCCATACATACTGACTGTTTGTTGTTTACAGAAACCGATTATGTTGCATGGGCACGAACGTGCTATCACTCAAATCAAGTACAACAGGGAAGGTGATCTTCTGTTCTCTGCATCGAAAGGCAACAAACCCAACGTTTGGTACTCTTTGAATGGTGAGAGGCTGGGCACTTTCAATGGCCATCAAGGTGCTATCTGGTGCATCGACGTTGACTGGATGACGTCCAAGTTCATGTCCGGAGCAGGAGACAACAGTCTGAAGTTGTGGGATTGTCAGACCGGCAAGGAGATTGCTAGCATCAGCACAAACTCCTCGGTGAGGACATGCAACTTCAGTTACTCCGCTAATATGGCAGCTTACTGTACTGACAAAGCTTTGAAACACATGTGCGAAATGTTCATCGTTGATACGAGGATAGTGGACGATAGTTTGGGCAGTGCTGAACCAATCCTGAGGATCCCCATTAACGGACCTAGAGTGTCCTCTTTGCTGTGGGGAGCTCTGGATGAAACTCTCCTGACTGGTCATGAAAATGGAGAAATTATTCAATGGGATCTTAAAGTAAGTTTAAACGAAATTGCTTTTGAAATTTATTTCATTGTGGTTTCACCACTTTTCTTTTAGATGGGAAAGAAACTGAACTCGACCAAGAAACACACTCATTTGATTAACGATATGCAAATGTCTGGGAACGGATCCATGTTCATCACAGCGTCCAAGGATCACACCGCCAAGTTGTTTGATTCTGATGATTTGCAATGTTTGAAAACCTACAAAACCGAGCGTCCAGTAAACTCTGCTGCTATCTCACCAATTTTGGAACATGTAGTATTGGGTGGTGGTCAAGATGCTATGGATGTAACGACTACTTCAGCGCGCGTAGGAAAGTTCGACTCCAGATTCTTCCATATGGTCTTCGAGGAGGAATTCGGAAAGGTCAAGGGACATTTCGGTCCTATCAACAGCGTGGCCTTCCATCCAGACGGTAAAAGTTACAGCTCAGGCGGTGAGGACGGTTACGTTAGGATACATAGCTTCGATCAATCCTATTTCGAATACGCGTTCGATTATTAAATTAAATGTGCAAAGTTTTATGTACTAAAAAAACGTTTTTCGTATTAAAAATGTACCCACTAAGAAAGAGCCAAACAACATGTCATCAGTTTGTATTGAGAATCTTATATTTAATTTTCTTTTGTGTATAATATCAAAAAGATTAATGAAAAATTTACATTTATTACAAAAAGGAAAAAAACATGAACTTAAAACAGTAATCTTTTTGATAAAGTCCCTCCTTCCGCGCTCTCCAACAGTTTGCGTTTCAACGAGGGTTTCTCCAGATCCTTGAGTTTCCTGATGTTCTGAGGTAGTGGTAGTTTTGGTCCATAAGTGGGTGCAGGTTTGTTACTGAAGAATGACTTCTGCAAGGTCTCCGTGCAGTTGGTCCTCTCCAAAGGATTAAGAACTAGCAAACCTGATATAACATCGAGAAGATCATCACCAGCTGCAGTGAAGATATGCTTGAGGGGCACAGGCGCAAACGGCTTGAATTCAATATAGTCACTGAGCATCTTCAAGCCAGGCCAGTTCTCCTCTGTAGGATTGCCAAACACCTGAAATATCCTAGTCAATTGATCTAAATCTGATTCGCCTGGTAAGAATGGTAGCCTAAGCAGCAGTTCAGCTAAAATACAGCCAACAGCCCACATGTCTATGCAAACACTGTACTGCTTTGCACCGAACAGAAGCTCCGGAGCCCTGTACCACCTGGTCACCACCTGATGAGTGTTCAGCCTATTAGGTGATCCATACAATTTAGCTAAACCGAAATCACCAATCTTCAGCACACCATTCGAATTCACCAGCAGATTGTTCGGTTTCAGATCCCTGTGCAGGATCCAATTCATGTGCAGGTATTCGAGCCCCTGCAGGGTCTGTATGATGTACGACTTGATGTTCGCGGTCGTCAAGATGATTGTGTTATCCTTGATGATCACTTCCAAATCTGTGTCCATGAAATCAAAGACCAGAGACACATTGGACATGTGTCCGAACACGTCCAGCAGTCCCATCAGATTCTTGTGGTCCAGCTCCTGCAGGATCTTGATCTCCCTCAGGGCAGTTCTGTTGATCCCATCCTGAGCATCCACTCTGCTTCCCAACTTGATCTTCTTCACGGCGACGATAGCCTCCGTCTTCACATCGCGTGCTTTATATACTGTAGCGAATTGACCTTCACCCAAGAACTCGATCTTCTCGTATCTCTTCAATTTGCTGCTCATATTGAACCAATGATCATCACAAATTCACACTACCTTTCATTCAAAAAAAACTCTTCACCTAATAACAACACAATTACCAACGACAACATGATGAAAAACATCTGTTCCTCAATGCAACCAACTATTACAAAGAAAATTACAAATATTTGAAAAATACGTCTTATTGCAACAAAGATTTTATTATACAATAAAATTAATACACATAACTCACTTCATTTGTTTCTCAGCAAATTGGTAACTCATCTAACCAATAATTAAGATAATTGCAATAATTAGAAGATCGAGCATTATGCAAATTGATTAATTGATCATTAACTTGCTAGAGGTTTCTGGGAATCAAGCGCTCCAATTGGCGTGATTAATCAATTATTCTATATTATTTCATAAATTAACTCCAGTTCTGCATGACGAATTACATTGTTCGTCATCATCAACATCAAGAATTGTTGTTTGAAAACGTGAGAATAAATTGTTGGAAACTATTCTTGTGATATGATATGTGTGACTGCTTTTTCTTGCATTTGCGTCATCTGGAACGAGTATTTTTTTTTGATAGCGACATCCATTAAAAGAAATATTTAACACTAAGAAGATATGTGTTTTAGGACCGAAATTTTTTGAAATATTCAAGGTGCGCTGTGATAAGAAAACAACTGCGGCGGACCAATCGCGCATCGCCTCGCGCTTTTTCTTCCTCGACTTGATGGTGATTGTTATTATTATTATATTTTTGTTTTAGTCGGACGGCAATTGTTCGCTCAGTGCGCTACAAAAAGCGGAGCGAGGCGAGCCGCACCGCACCGATTTCTTGTTGTGTTACGTAACTTTCGCAAGTGGTGTTTACGGTGAGGGAGGTGGGGTGAGAGAGGATAGGAGGTCGATTTCCACGATGCGTCGGTCGCGGTAATGGCGGACGTCGCGACGCCGAGAGCCGCCGTCCCGGCGTTATCGAACAGCTGTTAGCAGTCAAAATGGTGCGCGTCGCGACGCCGGACGTCTTCTAGCATACACAAAGAGTGCCGTGGAAAGGTGAATGAGAAACGGCAGCGAGAAGATCTGAAGGAAGATGAGGAGGCAGCAGCAGCAGAGCCAGACGCAACTCCATCTCGAGCACAGCGATGACGAGAACACGACGACATCCTCACCGGTAACTCTTGGTGCTCTCCGCATGACTCATTTGTTATTGTTATATTAATAGCAATTCACGGCACACTACTTCTCTCTCTAT